GGCCGGTCAGCCACATGGCTGGTGAATCGACGACGGGCGGCATTACCGGTTCGTAAAACCGCACCTCGCCAATACACTGTGAGCCGCCAACCCGTATGGTAGACAGGTTGGTGGCACCTTCGGTGCTCAGGAGTCGGGCTTGTCCGTATATCTCGTTTGTAAATGAATAAGCAGGCCTGAAGTGAATGAACGGGTGGTAGCGGCACACAAAATCTGCACCTCGGGCCAGCATCAACCCTGGCGATCAGCCCGATACCCGTGATACACAGAAAAGCGGTACTTTGGGCGGGTCATCGCCCTCCCCATGCACTCAGCCATACAAGCTTTTGTTAGTTCCACGCAAAACCTACAGTTTGATGAGTGTGATTAGATGCACAACCATATCACGACAATGCCTGCTGCTGAAAGACCCGGCTCAGTATTCCGTCTCTCAAATAGTGACAAATGAAAACAGCCGTGTTGTCGCTTTAGCGCTAAGGCAAGTGATGCATGGTAAACTGATAACGTTTCACTTATGAGATGGGACGATGGTTGACAGGTTACCTACGACGTGACTAGGTCATGTGAAAATGCAGCCATGATGGCTACCAACATAGTCACTGCTAAAATAACCATGAACGCAACAGGACGAAAAACGCGAATAAATCCGAATGTCGCGAACTGCCACGCCACAACACATGAAATGAACCACAAAGTAAGACTGAGCTGTTAGAGCTCAGTGACTACAATTCACTTTGGCAGTGTTATAACACCATGGCGCGGATCCACAATGTGGCTGCATCATTCATATTCAACTCCATATTCTAATATGGCCACACTGAAGCGTGTCTTTGGGTTTTATTATGTGGTGGCCAATGGGCATGCAACCAGACAGGGGGTGAATAAAAACTATATATCATAATTGTCATTTAAAGTAGCAACAGGATGCAATGCCACTGCACACATCAAACTGCACTTTTGTTAGTAGCACCTCACACAAGGCATACCCAAGCTCATCCTTATTGACAATGTCAGTCATCAAATAATCCTGGAAAGAGTAAGCAGCATATCAAAGTCACTAATGAAATGACAAACTTAACTATTAGAAAGCATACTTTTACATAATGTCGTCAGAGGGCTTCAAAAATATTATGTAACTTCTTCAATCATTTTCATATCAACTATCAAGTCAAATTTGAAATTAGCAAAACAAGTCACCAGCAAAACAAACAATATCGTACCAAAAAATGGATGCTTGGATTCAATTGTAATTTAACAGTATTGGCATCTACTCTAAGAGATCACTGGCACCAAGGCTGCTTAAATGCACAAAATGATGGTATGAATAAAGTGCACATCAATGCACAAAACACTCACCACACGCTGCCGCTCCTCCTCAATTTGATGGATAAGCTTGCCAAATTCTTTCAATGAGCCACTTATTACAATTTCATCATCTGTTTGCGCACCACCAATATAGCTAAAGTGGAATTTTTCCAGGCTTGTGGCAATGGTCTGCTGGCATTGAGACAAATCTGAAATATATAATTGCAAATTGTTAAGCATGAAAGATTAAGTACAATATTGTCAAATCCACACCCAGCAAAACACAATTCAATAACTATTCTTAATAGAAAATTGTAAGCAATTATTTGAGGAATAGTAGTCTGCAATGGCACAATCATGCATAATGAGGCAATTATAAATATAAGCAGATGATCAGTAAAGCAAAATAAGAGAATCAGCTGTGGTCTAGTTTAGTTTAGTTTAGTTTAGTGATAGTGGGCTGTTTTAGGCAGGCTATTCGGTGCCCACATCATAGATACTTGGAGATAAGGATCAGACAGAAAGTAGGAAAGCGTCACTGGTACCCGATTCACAACTTATCAAGCCGGTTCTTGAATGCATTTGTTGTTTCTGCCTCTACCACTGTTGATGGGAGGCTGTTCCAAATAGGGACCACTCTGTTCGAAAAGAATTTTGCTCTTACTTTGGTTTTCACCCTTTTCACTTTCAGTTTCAAACAGTGTCCTCTAGTCATGTGACCTTGCTCCTTGACAAAGAATTGATTCGGGTTCACATTGGTTTTTCCTGTCAACAACTTGTAGGTCTCTATCATATCTCCCCGCCTGAACCTTTCTTCAATGCTGATGAGCTGCAAAATTCTTAATCTGTCTTCATATGTTTTGTCCCGTAGTCCTTGTACAAGCTTTGTAGCCCTTCTTTGCACCTTTTCCAGTATCTTGAGGTCTCTTTTCATGTATGGCCCTGTTGCTTGAACACAATGTTCCAAATGAGGTCTGATGTAAGTTGTGAATAATGGCTTGAAATTTTCAACTGTTAATCTGTCAAATGATATCCGTAGCAGCCTCAAAGCCCCCATAGCCTTGTTAGCCACCTTTGCACAGTTGATAGAGGCCTTCAAAGTGTTGGACACGTAAATTCCCAGGTCCTTCTCCAATTCGGTTTCCTCAATCTCCATGCTGACACCATTGCTTTGCTTCATGTAATACTTGACCATTGGATTCTGCCGACCACAATGCATTACTTTGCACTTTGTAACATTGAATTTGAGTAGCCATTTCTCCGTCCATTTTGACAAAACATCTATGTCTTCTTGTATTAGCAATGTATCTGCTTCGGTTGATGCCTTTCCAAACAGTTTTGAGTCATCCGCATACATTTTCATTATGCTCTTCACCAGGCCAGGGAGCTCATTTACATACAATGCAAACAAAACGGGGCCCAACACTGATCCCTGAGGGACGCCACTTGTAATCTCAGCCAATTCGGAATAGCAATTTTGAACAACAACCCTTTGCGTTCTATTATTGAGGAACTCACTGATCCATCTCAAGACCTTTCCAGTTATATTGTATCCAGCCAGCTTCTTGATAAGGCGTTTGTGCGGCACAGTATCAAAAGCTTTACTATAGTCAAGATAAATCACATCCACTCCTTCACCCTCATCCAGCAGCTTCGTCCACTCCTCAAAAGTTTCAAGTAGGTTGGTTTGGCAGGATCTCTTTGGTACAAATCCATGCTGGTGTACAGATAGCAAACCCGCTCCTTCTATATGCTGCATGATATGTTTCTTAACTAGCCGCTCCATGATCTTTCCGACTTGGCTCGTCAAACTAACGGGTCTGTAGTTACTGGGAGATGACTTTTTTCCCTTCTTGAAAAGTGGTATTACTGAGGCTCGCTTCCAGTCATCAGGGATCTCCCCTGCAGTGAGAGACTTCTTGAACAGAATTGTTAGTGGCCATGCAAGGGCAGCCGAACAACATCTAAGGATGTTTGTCGGAATACCATCAGGACCTTGTGCTTTGTCCATTTTAAGCAAGTCAAGTTCCTTCTTCACATCCAGAACATCAATATCGAAATCCTGTAGGACTGGTATATTATCTGTTTGCATGGTGAAGTCAGGCACGTTATTGACATCCTCCAAGACGAACACTGACTTGAAGAAGGTGTTAAGCACTTCAGCAGCTTCACTGTCATTCGAAGTCAATTGACCCGAGCTAGTCATCAGTGGACCCACTCTAGCCTTTACTCTCTGCTGTGACCTAATGTATCTGTACAGCTTTCGTGGGTCAGATTTCAGGTTTCTCGCCAGCTTGCTCTCATAGTCATGTCTTGCGTCACGGATAGCCTTAGTTGTCCTGTTTCTTTGCTGAGCGTACTTTGCGTGATCTTCTGCTGATCTGGATTGAACGTACTTCTTCCACAGTCTGTGTTTTTGTTTTACTTCCTTAGTGAGTGTTCTATTCCACCATCTTGTTTTTGTACTTTTCTCTTTGGTTTTGATGCATGTGAAAAAGTGAGACACACACTACCAGGCATGAAAAATTGTCCTATATATTACATGTATAGTTACTTTTAGGAATATTATCTGGACTTTTTTGTCCAGCAGCCAAGGATGAGCAATATCATCTGACATTAATGGACTATTGAGTAGGATATTTATTATCCAAGAGAAGAGCCTGAAAAGCAACCATACATTACTAAATATGGGTAAGTACCTAGGTACTCACGTTTGGCAGCATCCAGAAGCTCCTTGATGTTTTTTGTGAGACCTTTTATGAAGGTACTTGTATTTTCCAGTTCTTTTTCATAAGCATGAAGCTTTTCACGAAAATATGGACTATCAAGAAGACATTCTGTAGGTTCAAGCGGCAACAACCCACTACGCCCCATGGTGAGGTTTATGCCATTTACAATCCTTGTGATACCGGCATGAGTTGCATGACCTGGACCATTCTTGAAATCAAAGAGGTTCAATGCACATTTCCCAATAGATTACAACATTACAATACAGCCACGGAAACAGAGAAAAGCTTGAAAAAACATTTCCAACTCCGTCTCACTCAGGACCTTGAACTGTATCCGTATAATACGCACTCATTCTTGGTCAATCATCTTCATTTTCACCATGACACTTAAAATATTTGGGTCCCACTGAACTTCTCATAAACCTTATCACGGCACTTCAAACTTGGAGATTCACACATGGAATTGCACGGAATTCACACACACACACACAGACACCACCAACCAACGCAAATTAAAATGTAATGTTGAATGTTTACTGCAAGTTGAGTCAACTGTTTTTGTCTTAGCTGCGCCATATCTGACTCTTTTTTGTTCCAGATGTAAACAAAAATTTCAACTAGAAGAGAGACTATATTTTAATTTTCAGTTTTTTTTTGCGCAGAATGAAACTTGGACCATGCTCAACCATGCTCTACCGAAATAGCAAAAATTTTAAATTGATGACAACACAAAAGTGCTAGTTAGTCAAAATATTAAGGAAATAAAGGACAAAAACACTTAAATTAATATATCAAGCCATACTTTAACAAAAAGAAATGGACAAAGTGTGTTCGGATATTTTGCAATTTTCGTAAAATTTAAATATATTTGAATTTTTTTACTTCCCCACCAACAAATTTTACAAAACTTTATTCAAACCTACTAGAAAATAGTACAAAAGTAGCCTCGATTTCTTGGCAACTTCCTTTGAGAGCCCGCGATTTTGTCAGGTGGCTGCGCTCCGCTTGTCCTGAAAGGTAGATGCCGTTTTATCGCAGTTTTTGCCATTGCATGCATGCCTAATCAATTAATAATATTATCCAGCTATCTACTCTTGTGATTTTGTGAACATCAACGATTATCATCCGTGGAAATCCAATGTATACCTTGGCGCTTTCGTCGCAATTGTCAACAACGTGGTCACAACGCATGGCGACTACGGGGATTACAGACAGCTGGGCTGGATGACTTTTATCAGCATTCACGGGTTTACCAATGGTAGGAAGTAATAATGACTTATTTTGAATGAGGTTGATTTGTTTATTGTTATATATTTAGGGGATTTGGGTTTATTATCCTGTCAACTTTGTTCATTCTTTGTTCAACTTTGCATGGGTGTGGTTTTTAGGTTCTCATTCAGTTTAATTTGTGTAGTAATATGGTGTTGCAATCTGCTATGCTCTGCTAGTCAACAATAGAAACATATATCATTATAGCTTCATTACTTTTAAATTGCAATTAGAACTGTTGTATTTTTGTTTTGCTGTACCTATTCATACACATTTAAGAACCTGATTTGTGAAGCTCATCATTCCATGAAGTTGACTCATGATTGATATCATAAGTTTTTCATCATTATACATCCCATTCAAGGTGCTAACATAGGCGAACTTAATAAAATGTCAGACTACCATGCAATTTGAAATGTAGCTTACATTGTGCAGTCCTCCTTGCAGCTGCAAGCTCACCTTTCTTTCTACCTCTGCATCAATCTGCATTTAAAAATCATCAGTCAGAGTCATGTGTGGAGATTGGCCAGTCTGCAAAACGTGGCAGGGTTCGACGAGATCTCGTCGGGGCAGACACAGTGGGGCAGGGGCAGAAATCGGGGCAGCTTTTGAGAAGTTGGGGCACAGTTCGGCGATTCCGGGGCAGACCGTTTGCAGTCAGGGCGGACCGGGGCGGGGCACACGGTACCGGGAGAAAATAATAAAGAAGCGGAGTATTGTTGAAACGCGCGAGAAAAAGTGGGCTGCGCCACAATCGTCGCTAAAACGCAGAAACTGTCATTTAAAACTGCTGCCATATTCAAACTTCCTTTCATCAGGGCTATGAATGTTTTACGCACCGTGTTTCGTATTAGCAACGTAGGAAAGGTGCTCCCGGAGCTAACTCCTTTCTAGCCTAACCAAATCGAATCAAATCAAATCAAACCAAACCATACCTAGCCTAATCGAACACTCATAAATGTGCCGTATAACCCTCACATAGTTGCCGTCCGGCCAAATGATGCCGCGAACACGCGACCGGCGACCTACAGATTACGAGACTAGCACACTCGGCTCGGCACACTTGAAACCAAGCCATTAAGCTAGCTGATCACCGTCGAGACTCGAGACAAGGTGTAATTTCAGTTTTTCAATTGTGCATTGTGGGCTGGGACATTGTCCCGATCTTTTGTTGCAAAAACAAAATGCCCCCCTCGCTCCAGATTGATTCGCTGTTGCCATGGCAACATGAGGCAGTTTTGCACCCTAACTGTGTTCGATGTCTCTCGGACGACGAAGATTCTACGTCGTCCGGCCCATCCCGTTCAAGGTCAGCGGGGGCTCAGCTGCGGTTATGGAACGTGATTGGTCGGACGACGTAGAATCTACGTCGTCCGAGAGACATCGAACGTGGGGTTTATCACCATTTTATTTTAACCGGAGCACTAGCTGCTTTATATATAACCTTGATCAATGAGCAGATCCTTTCGTAAAAAAAAATGTTTAGAGTTTCAACCGCGACCGACTTCAGCATTTGCACGGGTAATGTATTAATATGTGTGGTTTTTATGCCATATATAGGTAGTTCATTTAGGGCATAATCTAACCTGCCCCGAGTAGATGCCCCATTTGGGGCAGAAATTGGGCTGCCCGGAAGTCAACTGCCCCATTTGGGGCAGGATTCCGGCTGCCCCAAACACCTCGTCGAGCTGGCTGCCACGTTTTGCAGACTGGGAGATTGGCAGAACCTAGCACTACTTTTGTGTGACTTGCACTTTGAATAATACATGCATGCAACCTTTGTTGTTATCCAACTGATCTAAATTAGACACATGATGTTGATGCTTGAGAAATTACTCATGATCTCAATTTTTATGTCTGATATTCATAATAACATTTGAATGGTGATTAAGTGTCATAGCTTTAGAAGTGTTTTGTTAAGCTTTTCCTTATCGAAACTTAACCCGCGCCCCACTGGGGTCTGCGTATAACACGCCCTACTGGGGGGGGGGGGGGGGGCTATTCATAGCCCCCCCCCTCCTAACTCCGAAACTACTGGGCCGATCGTCAAAATTCAAACGGCGTCTGATAGCCCCGGAAAAACTGTCGAGCGAAACCTAATTTCATTGACCTCGAGGTCACCGATGACGTCACAGGTCAGGTCAAAGTAAAAATTATTAGCATTTTGGCTTCTTCACTTTTTGGGCTCTGGCCGCCGTCTTACAAGTCAGATCAGGCTCATTTTTGGTTCACACACTCGTGAGCAGATGCTCTAGATACTCTGAGGGTACCAAACTTGTACTTTGATTTTCAGGTCAAGGTCAGGTCATCACAGGTCACGAAAATATTATATCATCCGTCGGTCACGTGACACATGTTTTATGGTCCATTTAGGCCAAACATTTCGAATTTGATGTCATCTGTGTCATTCGAGGTCATTTTGAGTCAAATTTAGTTCAGGTCAGGTCACTTTCAGGTCAAAAAAGGTCAAATTTTGAAGTTAAAATTTTTCAACAAAAAAGGTGTCTATTGGATGCAGTTTGAGCTCAGGAACACGATGGTGCTATTTATATTGGCGTACGATGTCAAATTCGTGCTGAAAAATTGATTTGAAAAATTAATAATTGTTAATTTTTTGCAATAATGCGTATAACTTAGCCATTTTTGAAGATATTTAGCTAAAACTTGCTAGAGTTAGTCATAATAACGCGTTCTATCACATATATTCCGGTTTTTTCGAAAAGTCAAAAAGTTTTTGAAAAAAATGTATAAATATAAATTTTGAATTTTATTATATAAAATTTTCGAAATTTTCAAAATTTCGAAAATCCGAGATAGCAGTTTGATAGCGCAGTCTATTCTGAGTCCTCTCATGCAAAGAAATTGGATCTAGCTTAAAAACTGAGCTCTTGTGAGCGATTGCCGTGGTTCAATGTTTTGCGTCGAAATCGGCCGAACATGACGTCACTCTGACGTCATTTCCGGCCGACCTATGGTAGGTACGAAGTTCAAATTTTGACACAAGGTGTCAAATTGATGCAGCCGAAGGTACTGAAAGTTTGGCGTCGATACGTCAAGCGGTTTGGAAGTTATTGCAGAAAAACGGGAGGGGGGGGGGGCTATAAATAGCCCCCCCCCCCCCCCCCAGTGGGGCGCGGGTTAACTTAATAATGCTTGTAATCTAGCCTTATGGCAGTAACTTTCCTTTCCATGTTCTTACATGTGAGGCATGTATGTTGTTGTTTAATCCACAACCACTTCCATTTTGTTATGTATAGTTTCTTACCATGTAGTTGATCTAGTTGACCAACTACAGGGTGGAAAGTAATTACGCGAACATGTATTTTCTTACAATTTTGACCATCAGTGGAGCATTTTTATGAGTACGGGCTGTCATGGAACATAATTGGTCGTGTTTGCTGTCGCCTCATCTACCAAAAGTGACCTAACTTTGAACAATGACCTGGAAGGTCTTAAACACCTCTCGACTTAAAATGGTGCAGACACCATACGCTGCACAAGACCGAAATGGGCCAAGAGCTCAATTTGGAGCTGCCAGGGAAAGCGTTTGTGATTATTTTCGCTGGACTGGCGGAGAAGGGATTCGTAGAGGTCTCAGCACCAGCATTGCACAATTATACGTTTTTTTTTTTTTAAACATAATAACACTTGAGAGGACTTAAAAAGCAAAACCGTCCGCGGCAGCAACCCCTCGGCGAATTCTGTCGCCGGGCGGGTGGTCACCATGTCGGCGACAAAACGACGCCAGTCGACCCGAAAACTGGCAAAATAGCTTACTCTGGCCGGGTACCCGATCTAGGATATCACGATTCGCACATTAATACGCAAAAAATTCGAAAATTAAGTCGTACAAACCCTCGGGATGACCAAAATTCACGAATTAACAGCAGAATTGTTAATTGAAGCTTTTCAAAGACAATCAAAGATGGACAGAGGAGGACAGGCAGCTGGATCTGTGGTTGGGTGAGACATCTGTGAAACTGTTTCATCCGTCAAACCTGCAGAACAACTGCTCTGAGGGCTGCTGTTGCGTCCTATGTCCCGTCCGTCCCAACCTTCAAACATCCGGCAAAGGAACACATCAGTGGGTCACGAGCCCCCGGGTGGTGTCCGAATTGCGTGTAGCGCTAAAAAAGGTCACTATAAATAAAGTATACAAACGGTGGAACATCCTCCAAGACGAGTGTCTATGTCTAATCCACCGTGCAACGAAAGGGGCAAAATGACTGAGCGCACTTTTGTGCCTGACGCAAAGAAACTGCTCTTCGTGATTGGTGAAATCCTTACTTTCACGGCCAACAAAACGCAATACTGGTGCTGTGAGGACCTGTTTTTCTTCAGGACATACAAAAGCTGATCTGGGAAACGCCTGGGCCTCAATTCGATTAAAAATCTCCAGATGACTCCTCAGGAGACCGTCTAAAAGCTGCAAGGAGCCACCAATACCGATTACCTCACTGGACAGCTCCATAAGGTGTGGGCTGAGCTTTGGCCAACAGATCTTCACATGCTGATGTAAATCATGCCGGAACGCCTATGTCAATGCATCGCAACTAGATAAGGATAAAGTAAAACATATATTGTTTATGTCACCGCCGTTTTTTTCATTACTAGAAGACGAAAAAGTATGTTCGCGTAATTACTTTCCACCCTGTATCTAGGTGATTGTTGTGATATGGGTAGCTTCTTCAACCTGGTGAATGAAATTAGAAATACTTGCTTTGTCATCATTTGTTTTACGAAATTTGTGATTTGTACATTTTTTTTGAAATTTTGCATTGCTTTTTAGGAAACTGCATTTTCCTAGGTTTCTGTGCCAGTGTACATTTGACACACTCAAAGGCATCCAATGATTAGGTAACTCTTTTGCTATCATACTTCTTTCACATTTTTACTGTTACATGAAAGGGCATGGTGAACAACCATTTAAAAGGTCAAAGTCATCCTGTTGCATTTTTTGTAATGTTTGTATCTTTTCACTCATGCTTTAAAAATTGTTTTAAGCTACCACTGGGCAGTGGGCAATGACCTCAGGCTGTTGGGGCTTCTTGAAACCATTTCTTTGTTAAGAAGACTAAGATTTAATTCTAAATCAGTTTGGTCAGTTAAAATGACATTTTGACACAGACACCTATCTTATATGTTTGCCTTTCTCACAATAAGTGCCATTGTTATGCCCATAGGTATGTTTGTGAATTTAGCTTTAAACTATTCTAATGGACACATTGAGAGTCAGATGGAGCCCACACCAAGCAAAGCTTGTTATGCGGGCGCTGATCTATACTGTCCAATCAGGAGTAGCTGGGTGATCAATAAGATTTATTTGTCAAAGTTTTAACATGCCATCAAAGTCATATAAAACGATTAGCTGCGGCTGTCTGTAGTCTCGCATACTGAACGCCGGAACAACTCGAACCCAGACTCAACTCTCGTTATTGAGAGTTTCAACTGATCTATGGGACAGACTCTTGACAAGTCATGGGGCGGACTCCCGAATACAGTGGAGTTTCACTTACGTCATTAACCGAAGGCCGGTGCCGCTTGCAGCGCTCGGAACCGCCTCACCATGCCGAAGGACCCGAAGGCCGATGATCCCATGGAGGATGTGGAGGAGGAGGAGACTGGCGAGGGGGACGCCACCGCACAGCTGATGCGCAACCCGGCCGTGCTGGCCGCCCTGCAGGGTCGCCTGGACGGGCTCGGCTCGCCTTCCAGCTACATTGAGGTGCGTTGGTGGGAGGGTGCCGCAGCGAGAGGGTTATGTGTTAGTGATGGAAGGGAAGCTGGAGCGATGACGGAATGACGGGTTGGGCATTGTGTTCATGTTATGATGTTAGCTGGTTAGCCAGTACGTGATCTGTCAAGTATGTTTTCTCAGAAATTCTGACTTATTTTGTTGCCATTATAAACACGGAAACGCAAGGTGACATGGAAACCACCATTAAAAATTCATCAAATTTCGAAAGGGAAGTGCATTCTAATGAAAATAAATGTGAAATCCATGTGACTAATTTGCGCGCTTTGCATTTTAAACAGAGCCTGCCGAAGGTGGTGAAACGGCGGGTCAAGGCGCTGAAGAACATCCAGCTCAAGGCCACCCACATTGAGGCTGACTTCTACAAGGAAGTGCAGGCCCTCGAGTGCAAGTACCACAAGCTCTACACACCTCTCTATGAGCAGGTAGGTGGACGGCGTCGCGGCAAAATAGTCGTCAGATTTGACCGGGGGGCTTATCAGATTCTTTATCAAAGTGATGCTTTCTACTTTCAGTAACTTTTAGTCTTTGATGTGTGTTGTGGGAGGGGTAGCTATTTTTTTAACTGAATTTATTTTGCCCTGAAAAAAAAATCCTGAACAAGACCGCTATTTACTCCGACGGGCCGGAACCGGCACGTTCCCAGCCCGGCTCGTGTTCTTAGCTGCCCGTCCGGTACCGTCCACAAATGTCACATTTGACGTTTGGCCACCGCTCGTCAGATCGGACATGTGCCCAGTGTCCGCTGAATGGCGCCGGGCCGGACCGGGTCAGTACTGCGACGGAGGCCCGCTCCCGAAGGGTATCGGGTCGCCGACCCTACCGGCCTGCCGCGGCCTCCCGCCGCGCTGACTCACAGGCGCGGAATGTGCCACTCGTGATCAGCGAAATGAACCATGCGACCCGGGACTGGCCTGGCGGCCACCGCGGTGCCGGGCCCTGTGCTCATTTTATGGCCCCGGCTGCCTTCAGACCCTCACGTGCGGCGAGTTTATGCGATTACGGCTCGCTGTGGAGCTTGTTCCACCGTAAACAGGTCATTTGGGCTGTTCCGCTCGCGGCGCCTACGTCACGTGTTTATGGGAGACTCTCGGCTGCTGCTGCCCTCTATGTCTTGCCGCCACATCTCACCGACGGGCGCCATTTGAGGAAAATCGGCTGAGATGGAACCACGCAACTCTGGAGTCATCCCACGGAGCGTCGTTCCCGTGCCTCCTTGTAGTTGGTTATAGGAATGTGTGTTTGAATTGAATTTATCATGCTACGGGCTTGAAGTGGGGTTTGCTCAGTCAATTCAGATAGCACTCAAAAGGCATGTTATCATAATATGCATATGCGCACATGCTGACTATGCACATTGCACACTGCAGAGTGCAAGGTAATGCCCATGACCCCCCCCCCCCCCCTCCCCTACAATGTCGCGCTGGTCAATACCGTGTCCAGCGAACTCAGATCTTCTCGGGCGCTTACGAGCAATGTTGGAAATAAGTCCTTTTGCTGGTCCCAGTCGGGTTCAAACGATTTTGTTCTAGTTACTTAACAATTTCATACTTCGGCACCTGAAATCTCTTAAATTTCAAGCCTTTGTGATGATAAACTGCTATTGTTACGCATAAAACATGCAGTTATAGCATAGAGAGAACACATTTTATCAACTGTCACATTTCGTAGGTCAAACATATTATTTTCTTGTTGAATGTTCTACAGCTGGCCGGTTCTCCGGACACGTCTTATTCTCCGGGACCAGGACCAAAATTCACTATTCCAACATTGCTTACGAGCCCACTGATACTGTGCGCGGGTTCCAGCTGCAGTATCCCGCAGGTCACTGACACCCCTGTTCCATCCACAGCGGACTCAGATCTTGTCCGGCGCGTACGAGCCCACCGATGCTGAGTGTGAGTTCCCGCTGGACGAGGAACTTAGTGATGAGATGCAGGAGAAGGCGCAGATCGGCGACGCGCCCAAACCGCCCGCCTGCATGGACGAGAACACTAAGGTACGGTAGATGCTTTGAAGGGCACGTGAAACTCTGGCATCTGAATTCTCCTTTTACTCGGAATTGCGCAATCGGGCGGTTGGGGTCGGGGTCTACGCAACAAGCTCTGCTTAGCGTGGACTCCGGCTCTTTCAACCCGTCCATTCAAACATCCCAGCTAAGTTTATTTGTAAAAAATGTTACTTTTCACACGGCTGCCGGTGGTCAATGCTGCCCAGGCTCCCTTGGAACCCCAATAATCATGAAACACTAAATCATTTGTACGCATGACACCGTACGACCGTCATGTCCGGGACCATGTTTGCTTTGTTCGTATAGTAGCCGAGTGTAAGTGTGGTGTATGTCTGGCGCTGTGTAACTTGCCTGACAGTATGCGTTTAGTTTTTTTTTCTGTGCTGACAGTGTGTTGAGACCGCCCTGACGTGAATTGCCCCCCGTGGTGATCATAGCTGCCGTCCGTGTGCGTTTAGAAGTTCCGACTTCCCCATGACTGGTGTGTTTAGTGTGTGCGGTGTAGTAATTCCCGTTTATGGCTTTACAACCTTCTGTGGGTAATTCACTACGCAGTGTGTTAGGAGGAAGCTTATTCCGTGTAGGCTGAGGACCTAAATGGAGTGACTGACATGAGGAGTGGGAAGATTTATGACTTTATGGTGGCCTACGGGATCATTCGATTGGTGTAAGGATTCAGGGACGAAAATCGTGCGAAATCTGATCTACTGTGACCTAAAAGTGGCCTTTCTTTTCTGACATACAGCTTTCCAGAATGCAGCTGTATGTTTCGCTGACTAACGGTTGAAGCATAAATTTGATTTAAGACCTTGGTGTACAAAGTGATTTGCCTGTAGGGCGCAAACTACGAAGTCACAAAGTTTATCCCTCATTGTGAGGTTATATCACCTGTAGAGCCTGCCTTATTCCATCATCCACCAAACCTCTGGAGGCATTAATCCTGATGTCTTTCGACTCCCAATTTATTAGAATCCATTAGTCGTATGTTTTTATCGCTGCGCTCCCTCCGCTGGTCCGTGCGATCGTGTCTCTCTCGATGGACTGTTCTATGACGCCAGTCGGCCGACCGGCGGCTGACAGTTTGGTGTCAGGCGGTCACTGTCGACTGCCCCCCCCTCCCCCTGGTCCCCCCCCCAGCCCCCACCGGCGGCCATTTCGGGAGCGCCACTTCACAGTGGGGGTGTCATGTGCCCCCTCCCGGGTTCGCTTGTGCCACTTGCGATACCTGTCCGGTCAGGTATGATAACTGCATTGCGCTCTTGCGCTGGTCCATGAAAGTCGAGCATACATTGGGCAGTGCGGATAGCTATTCCGAAAATGGTTACGGAGCGAGCGAAGCGAGCGGAGTCTCATACTGAATTAAGGGAAAATCCTGAGTATGAGCGACCGGCCGGCCGGCCGGCCGTGGGGACGCTCATACTCAGGATTTTCCCTTAATTCAGTATGAGACTCCGCTCGCTTCGCTCGCTCCGTAATAATGAGTTTGTTAATCAGCTACTGTTAATAGCTTGATAATTAGAGTACCAGACCATTTGCTGAAATGGTGAGTTAACACCTTAACCTAAAAAGGCTGAGCTCGTAGACCTCTATTTCCAATAGGGATGTTTAATCTGTTTTTGCGTAAGAAGCCCATCGTGGAAACAAATACTCTAGCAATGTTTGAATCGTGGAAACTGTAATATTTCACCACAAGCTAGCTATAAAAGCCGTTGGAGATTCGCTTGTAATCATCGACACGATACGCTATTTGAAATGTTGAAGCTTGGTGAAAGAAAGATCAAACTTGACTCTAAATTCGTTGATTTCATTTTGTTTTCTTTCTTTCTTTTTTGCCGTATTGTGTTTATGCGAGCTGGCTGTGCGCCTCCCGCCGCCGCGGTGCGCGACTATAAATGTCGCGGGTGTGCCGCCCGCCTCTGTACCGGTCGGCCGCGTTTGACAGTGGTCGGCCTCGGCTGCCAATGCCGCCGCTGGCCGCTGGCCGAGGAACACGGCGGAATTTAGGCCCCTCTGACGGCCGCTCCGTCTCTTCCCTCGTCCGCCCCCCCCCCCCCCCGTCCGCCCGCGGTGACCTGTTGGCAAAAGGCGACCGTCGAGCGCCACCTAATCATGACCGAAGCACGGCTGTGGCGACTAGGTCGCTACGTGGCGAGAAAGCTGATCTGTGGTCCGTCATGGGCTCGGTTGGAGCGCAAATAGCGATATGCATGGTGACGGGCATTATAAGTAGTTCTTTGCATTTGCCTATTTTTGTATTCATGAAACGGGAGAGATTATGTGTCAAAGAATTGTCCATGGTTTAGGTGTATTGCTTTGTATTTTTGCATTTTTCAGTATGCACATATGCGAATCGTCACTGGTTACTAGAGCTCCCAGTCGTCATAGCCACTACTTCCAGCTGAATTGGCAGCCCGCTGCTTCACCACCGCTTTGCAGTTTCCTTTCCAACTCTGGCTGCCTACATCCAACTGACACTGCGTCTGTCCTCTGCGCACAGGGCATCCCCGAGTTCTGGCTGACGGTGTGTAAAAACGTGGACCTGCTGGCCGAGATGATCCAGGAGCACGACGAGCCCATTCTGAAGCACCTGACCGACATCCGAGTCAACTTCAGCGAGGCGCAGCCCGAGGTAAGCGCTGGAGAGGGGAGAGCTTTGCGGTAGATGGGAGGCAGAAGGGAATGGGAAAATGGTAAAGGGAGCTGGGTGCTGCATGCAGTCTCAAGAGGGCCTGGAGCCATTTTGTTTCATTTCAGATTGGTTCTGTAACATTATATTGAATGAAGCTGCTCTCATATCTGGTACATTATGTCATTAATTCTTTACTTGATATGCTGGAAAACGTTACAGCTGTGTTATGACGTGCTAACGAGCTTTTCTCGTGCTTACAGGGCTTCACGCTGGAATTCCACTTTTCACCGAATGACTTTTTCACAAACACTGTGCTGACCAAAGAATACACCATGAAGTGCACACCCGACGAGAAGGACCCGTTCTCCTTCGAGGGACCCGAGATCATCAAGTCCGTGGTAAGTTACGTTGATAGGGCATATCGCACTAATTAATACTTGCTGTGTATGACTTGCCGTTTTCCGAGACAAAATTCAGCAGCTGAAAAAGTATCAACATTAGATCTGTCATAGGTGTCACTCATAGATCTGTAAATGCGAATGTCGTTGATACCGAATCGATTCTTGCAAGGTTGAAGTTGAAGTTTGCGCTGTTGCTCATGTCCCTCTGTGTGCCTTCTGCAGGGCTGCTCCATCAGTTGGAAGGAGGGCAAGAACGTCACTGAGAAGACCATCAAGAAGAAGCAGAAGCACAAGTCGCACGGCAACACGCGGACCGTCACCAAGACGGTGCAGAACGACTCCTTCTTCAACTTCTTCAACCCGCCCTCCGGTACGTTCAAATAGGGGAGCTTGGAACCATTGGGATAGACCACTCGGCTAATGCGTGAGAAATTTGCTACTTTCTCCCTTATTGGTGTCTCACATCCGACGGATTATGATTCATGTGAGATATGAACCATCGCATAGCCTATGCTGAAAATGCGCTTAATATTTCCGCTAATATGTTTTTACCCTATTTTTTGCACTTATTGTCCCGCAATCCAATACCCTGCTGGTTCTTCGTGGCGATGTATGAGCTATGTGTTGACGCCCTTTCTCCGTCTCCCGCAGTGCCCGACGACCCCGAGGCTGAAGTCGACGAGGACGTGCAGAACCTGCTGTCTGCCGACTTCGAGATCGGCCACTACATCCGGGAGCGGATCGTGCCGCGGGCCGTGCTCTACTTCACCGGCGAGGCGCTGGAGGAGGACGATTACGACGACGAGGAGGAAGAGGAAGAGGAGGAGGAGGACAGTGAGTTGGAGGAGTGAGAGACCCCGGAGGACTCCCGCCCGTCGGCTGACCGCCGCGGGCGCGCACTGATTGCCGTTATGCGTTCTGTGACGTTGATCCGCCGCGTTTGCTGGATGAGACCGAGCTTCAGTGGCTCTCGGCGCGGGCGCCGCTGTTCAGATGCCTATATTGCTGTTGGGAGGCGGCCGCCGGGAGCGCTGTCCGAGGACCCGGCTGAGACGCCCTGCGCCCGCTCTGACTGTTGCAGGCGAGGCGGAAGAAGAGGACGAAGACGAAGAGACGGGTCGGCCGGCGCGCAAGGGCAAGTCCAAGGCCGCCAAGGCGAAAGGCGATCCTCAGGAGTGCAAGCAACAGTGATTTGAAGGGTACGAGACCTGCTATTCTGGAAATCTCAGGCTGCTTCGTGGAGCCCTGAACTGCATTTCTCGCTCATGTGTCTCCTGTCGTCCGCACTGGTGTCATGTTCCGCTGCTAACAGTGCAAGTCATCGATGAATAAAGTGGATTCTATGCGTTCTAATGTGCAATGTTTGCTGTGGGTTCTAGGGAAATTTTAAGGGGATTGGGCGACGGAAGTAGTCGACGCTAACGCATGAAAGGGAAACGCGTTCAAAGCCAGCGGGGATCATGCGTGGTAATGCACATCGTACACAAATTATCAGAAAGAGTGATGCGCATACGGTACGGGGTACTGGCTGATAGCGTATATGGGCTTGTTAGTTCGATGCTTGCATAATTGACGAGAGCAACTCGCGCTGGACAATAACCACATAAAAACAGAAAAGTTGACAGTCAAATACGTGTACATATTTACCTGATTCATGATTGTGCATTTTTGCGTGGGCTTCAAGATCGACTTGTCTTTGTGCCATATTTCAAAAGTCGACTCCTACAGAACACCTATCGTAGGCGATATTTGCTATCGGCGCGCGCAAACACTTGAGCAACATGCAGGGCAGACCTGGATGTCGAGGGTGTTCAATATAAATAACGGACATCAAGATCAAATGCCTGAAACACGCATTACAAAGATCAACGATGAATGTTCACAAATATTTGGTTTGTAGGGTTAAGCGGTAAGCCAGTCCGGTCTGACGAGACCTTTGCGGAGCAGAAGGGATGTTAGGAATAAGGGGGAGACATTGGTCTAGGCCCTAGGCGAACACCCTGGTGAGACGTCGGGGCTCCGGGCTGAGCTAATCCAGTGGACAGGCCACCCACCCCCGCTAGCGGTCACCGCACCGGACCATGGGCCTGCTCCTGGGGTGGAGCTGCGAACATCGGATATATTTGCCTGTCCTTAGGATGGGGAAATGATGGAACGGTGACCACAAATATGTGCTACTGGATCATTTACGTTGAAAGACGACTCAAGCTGGAACTCTTCGCGAATCCTTGGATGCATGGGTAGCATCGGCTATTGTATTGCCTTCCTGCTGGCCTAACGTCCTCTCTCCTCGCAGATTCTGGAGCACCATCATCCTGAGGATCCCACCGTGACGTTTGCACCGCTTTTCGTCAGTTGGCAGCTTGGCCAGCGCCCCTATGACCGCCTTCCTACCTGGAGAGGTAGCGCAGGAGCGGCAGCGCGCAGGCGCCGTCGGGGCGGGGGCGGAGCGGCGGCCGGGCCCGGTCCCGTCTGGCGCCGGCCGCCAGTCCACCGTCGGTCAGGAGTGGCCCGCTCCGCCCGCGTGAACTCGTACCCCGTCCGCAGCCCGCACCACGCCGCAGCCATGGCCTGCTGGTCGGAAAACTACCACTTCATCAAGGAAGTGTACGACTTCCGAGTGGAGGAGATGAACAAGTGGATGGACGCGCTGGAGGAGAGCAGCAAGAAGCTCATCACCAACAAGGTCTACACGTCCAGGGAGTTCCGCCGCATGCGCGATCAGTTCAGGGTAAGTACCGAGATCGACGGGGTACCTACTGCGTGAGGGGTCGCTAGGAAGTGGTCTTAGTATTACGAGTGTGTTGCGAAATCGGTTATAATTGCATGTCATTAGCGTACAAAGTCGAAGTAGGTAATGGCAGGACAATTAAAACTACCTCGGGGAACAGGTGCTCTGAATTACATGCAATCAGGATTCAGAAGTATGCACTTATCTAAAGTCGTTGTCGGGGGCTTGTGTCTTACATTCATAAATAAATATTGTCCAAGAAGTTGTTTGAAGAGCTAGTTATAAGCTAAGCTATAAGCGAAGGACAAACAAGCTTTTTTAATTGAAGTGACACCGAAATGTTCCCCGGCTAAAGCCGGATTCGTAAAAGTCTGACCTCTGGTGCTCACAGGTCGTTGTGGGCCCAACTATTTGGTTCTATTATTTGTCATGCCCCGTGACGGATAGCGCGCTTAGGGACGCGAAACCTTAGGCCGCACAGAGCTTAGCGCGCTTAGGGCCGCACAGACGGCTTGATTTTCGACCATGTCCATGTGAGCTGTAACGGCGAGGCGCTGAGGCTGGCCGCTGGCTTCTGTTTGTCCAGGCCCTGCTGGACGATAGCCCAAAATTCCTCAATCAGGATTAGGTCCGGATGGTAGCCGGCTAACATCTCCTTCCTTCAGAAGTCCAGCATGTTCGAGTCACACCACCGCTGGGCCTTGGCAGAGCGATGAGCCTGCGCACCGTCCTGAATGAAAATGCACGTCAACCTTCCATCGACCATGCGTCGACTTATAGAAGTGAGCCGCTGGAGGCTCTCCTATGTAATGAGCCTCAGAGAGCTCTTCCAATAGCGTCTCACGGTCCTGTCTGCAATGGAATAGCCCTTGCGCGTAAGCCGTTTGGTCAGTTTTGTCTCCAGCTGGCCTCTCTTCCCGGCCGTCTCTTTCTTTCAATGCGATTTCTTTCACGGTCGAAATGGTGGACGAACTGGAACGCCCAAACTGGAACGATCAGCAACGCTATACTAGCAGTTGTGTATGCTTGTCCCACCAACGCTGAACTGTGCAGGCGCCAGGCAGATGTCCCAACTGATCAGGAATGGCATGCTATGTCATTTCGGCCTGAAGCATGCCATGGCCGAAGTGTCTGGTTCAACTCCCCAAGATGGAAATTTCAAACCTTTATTTTTCAAGACGTGGCCGTTCGGGTGGGTGGACCATATGTGCGAAACTGACCGTAGCTCGGTGATCCGCGACCCGAGGTCCATTCGCAACCTCATGTCCCACGGCCAAGGTCCGTGCAGTGCAGGGGTGCAGCCACAACCGTTGTCCGTTCCGTTAGGGGTAGCAACGATTAGGGACCGGAAAGTGTTATCATAGGCAGAGGACAAAACTTTTGCCGGACCCTGTAATATTCATCGTAGAATGACGGGAGGGAGCACTTCTGAACGCTCAGTGTTAAATGTGAGTGTCTTTTTATGATAGGTACCTACATTGTGTGGTGAGGCTGTTAAATCGCTCTCTGAAGTCATAACAAAAAAGGCACGAATTTTATGACGTAGCCGATTGAAAGAAAATGATAAATAAGCTCTACATGCCATAAACATTTGTGCCTTTACTATGGATTTAATCCACCCGACTGCATAACCATAAGCCTCTTATCTAACGCAGCTTTCAGTGATTTATTGTTGGGTAAAACTGGAAAGATTATTTAATGGTCGATCAGCCTATAGTAGTTAATGGAATCGTACCTCGGAAGGGTTGGACTGACTCGTCAACCGACAAAGTTGACTGATATGCAGTCCCCAATCATGCCGCTAAAATTTGGAGGATTCTGCACCCACCTCCGTACTAAGGGCAGCTGAAAAAAGGGGCTCCAATGTCCTCTTTTTTATGCCTGTGCTTTGACAGTTATCAAGCCGTTTAATTAATTTTATTCACTCTCGAGACCAAAGACTGTCGTTTGTCGCTGTCGTCTCTCACTATATAGTTACCTGTCACGTAATATGCTGATGAGATGGTGTTGCATAATCGCAAACATTGCAGGAGCGTGTCATTTTGTGATATGTCCGTCCGTATCGACTACCGACACACTTGACTGACTGGTATCGTAGGGTAGCTGCGAGGTAGATAGTACTTAGATGCGAAGCAGATGATGGCTGGTTGCGCGGTAGTTGATGGTTGAGCGTAAAGAGTTGGTTGGATGTGCGGTAGTTGATGGTTGACCGTGATTTAGCTGAGGTGCTGCAGTTGAGTTAGTGCCGTAGCTCATCAGATCGACACCCTTTCTAGCTGCTGACGGTGCTGCCGCCGACGGTGTGAGACCGTAGACTGTAGCTACCCTTTCCCTGTTCTAGGCGGTGGAGCGCCCTGTAGAGACGTTTTATCTCCGTCGTTGGATCGCATGCAGCGGGCTAGGTAAGTGAGAAACGCCTGTGTGTCATGTTGTGGTACTATTCATTTGAGCACAACTACATATGTTCGCCTTTTTGTTGCTTTCATAACATCGGGTTTATTTGTGGCTGTGTTTCTCAATAAGTGTTTGTTTACAGTGTTCTGTAACTTTCCAATGTCTTCCCTGTCGTGTGGAGTGACATGTTGAGCAATGGTTCTCAATTGTTTTCTCAATGAAGAGTTCTATTCCACTAACCCAATCCACTTTTTGATGCGTTCATACTTCGTCGTATAAGTATTATTCGCATTCCCAATGCGCCGCTCCGCGCCGAAGCGAAAGAGTTACTTATATCCTCGTCACTAGATGTCACTAGTGTGGACGCCTGAAGTTATGCTATACCGCAATGCTCGGTTGCACCGCGGCGCAGCCTAAAGTTGGGCCGTGGGCGCCGGGCGGAAGTCCGTTCACTTTTGGCGTGATTTTAGAAGCCAAAGGATGTGGTGTTCGTTCCAAAATCATGCCAGACTGCTGGCTGGCTATTGCCTATTAGGTTGTGTGATTTTAAGCTACCCGGCATCATGCAGCTTTGGCAATGTCTGCCCTGCATTGAGGCAGATACTCTGTCGAACTTCGTACCGTAAGTACAAACCAGGCCTGCGGAGTCAATGCATTTTCGGTAACTCCGGCTTCGACTACCACTCCGATTTCCAAAAATCGTCATCTCCGATTCCTGGCAAAACTGTCGACTCCGATCAACTCCGTCCTGGTGCAAACATCCGTTCGTTTAGTAATACGTCCTTATTGCCAACATCCTGCCAGTCAGAGAACCATCGCTCATTGAGTTATATTGCTGTGCCCCGTGAGTTATATTTTTGTACCCCGTGCGGTGCTTGCTTACCGGCGACTTGTTCCGGTTTCAGGTAAACATGAAATAACGAAAGCTCAATACCTTTTTCTGTGTCAAAAGGTGGTTACAGTGTATTTGATAGGAAAGTTAAATTGCAATAATTCTTAACTAAATATGATTCATCTAAAACTGGCAAATTCAAATATTTCCACCTTTTATCACCTTAGCAAATGTTTCAACGTTCAACGTAAGTACCTCAAATGACAAACGTTTCAAAGAGCCCTACATCTATTTCACGCACGCATATATATGAGTCCGCTTGCATGCCTTTACTAATGGTCTTTACTATGGCCGGCCCCATAACTCTGTACTGTATACCGTCCTTCAGTACCAGTGCAAGAACCTGAGGCGTGAGGAGCTGAAGCAATGGCTGCACGAGATGCTGAAGCTGCTGAACCAGAAGTCAGACCAGAACCTGGAGACGGAGAAGAAGCGGCTGGAGGCGCTCATCCAGAGGCATACGGAGGTGCTGCCAGGAATCGAGGAGAACATGCGCAAGGTACGTGACAGCTGGAGAAGGGGGGGGGGGTGACGAGAAGGGATTCCAAGTTAGAAACATTGTTGTTCCGAAACCGAAAGTGTCAAAAGGTTAGAAACATTTGACAACAAACAACAGTGAACAGCCATTGTGCTGGCTGCTGGCATCTCATCGCATAAGGCATTTAAATACCTACTTGCAATGTGCGTTTGTTTTACGCAGATATGTAGTTATTGCTTTTCGCGAAGTACGCGAACACTTTTCCGAATGCGTATTTGGAATTTCCGACCTCGACGAGCGTCTGTGGTAGAAAACCACCACTTTGGTAGGGGAAACTACTGCTGTCTGCTACAATTTGCACTGCATGTCAAGCTATTGTAGCGACATCTATGCATATACATTTCCGACCTCGACGAAAATCTCTCGTATGATGTATACATTAACAGTTAACTATCAGATTGACGGCATGTGTCAACAATTATACCCTGATAGAAGACCGGAGGCTCAGAATTTAAAAAAAAAATGTGAAAATGAATACTTCAGACGCGTACCGCGTAGGAATTCAGCCCAGTATCGTTGAACAGATAATGCATCGGCCTGAAAAAAGTGTACGGTAACGATACCTAATTTTGGGTTTTTAGTCGGCCGATCCGTCCCCCCTGTCGAAAATCTGTGGCGACGCCCCTAGCACGTAGGTCAAAAGTACGTATCGCAAATGTTCGTACGCTCGTAGGGGAGAGTGGGGTGGGTTGTATCAGTTTTTACTCCGAGACCCATAACCTCGTAAGTATCCGTGATAAACTCATTATTTCCATACTATCCCCTTCCTTGATTCTTCTGCTTTTTTGTGCAAAGTAACTTTTCCGCTACCTCTACCAGTTTTTCTTCTACGGTCTGCCGAATAGAACAATGTTTTTGATACAACTTGCCCCATGGCTTGGGTGAGTTGTATCACATGGTGGGGTAATTTGTATCACTATTTCACGTTTCAGGGAGTGTGCTTGCTTCTGGTTTTGAACATAACAACAACATTAAATGGGGTTAATACAATGTATAGGTATGCTCAAAGGCTTCACTTTATTAGACCAAACTTAGGTCAATGCAATCCGAACGAAACATCAACAGACTAGACGCAAAAGTGGCCCGTTAAGAGCAGAGAAGCCAACACATTGTGCCGAAATGGAACGAGCATTGACTAGCTACCTACAAACGCGAGCCAGGGCTTAGCTTTCGCGATCAAAAGCAACATACCCATACATACATACACACATACATGTTACAACATACCCCACCCGGCTCTGATACAACATGAACCTAGCCGCCATCTTGGAAAAAACATCCTCGTGCTAAAAAAACAGCGGACAGCTGGAGAAATCCGTTTTCACTCGCGCAGCCTTAGAACCTACCCTCACCACCGCTACGGAGATCTTTCAAATTCGTGCACATCTAAATGCCCAAAACACACATTTTCTTGCAACTTATTTTTTTAGAATGACATTAAAAAAACATAAAATCGGCTCTCACCTCGAGACGCTTCCACTCAGCCACAAGACAGAACAGGGAAAGATGGCGCCCGGAAAACCTCGTCGGCTGGTCGTGTCGCGAGCGCTATCCATTGGATAAGTTTGGCACAATTCGCCCTGATACAACTTGGACATGATACAACTCTCCCCGCTCTCCCCTACAGTATAAAGTACGCATGGACAAAACTACGTCAAGGACAAAAGTACGCATGGCAAAAGTACGTATACAGTATAAAGCACGAATGGATAAAAGTACGTCAAGGACAAAAGTACGTATCGAAGAAGTACGTATAGGTGCATTATTAAGTACGCATGGACACAAGTACGTCACGGACAAAAGCACACATCGTAAAAGTGCGTACAGGATAAAGTACGTATGGACAAGAGTACGTCAAGGGCAAAAGTACGTATCGCAAAAGTACGTCGAGTATAAAGTACGTATGGAATAAGTACGTCAAGGACAGAAGTAGGCGTATCGCAGAGGTAGGTACGTACAGTACAAAGTACGTATACCTAGACAAAAGTACGTCAAAGAAGAAAATACGCATCGAAAAAGTACGTAAATTATAAAGTACGTATATCGCTAAGGTACGTACCCTGCTGACTTGCATAGATGTCGCAATCGGTCGCAACTACAGCGAGACATGCAGTGCAAACGGTAGCAGACAGCAGTAGTTTCCCCTACCAAAGTGGTGGTTTTCTACCACAGACGCTCGTCGAGGTCGGAATTTCCTAATACGCTTTCCGAATAACATCGGAGTTCGGAACTCACAAAATGCGATTCAACGTTGTCAGCGTTCACTAAAAATTTATCCCCGGCTGATGGACATTCCTCCTTCTCGCGTGCAGGTGGATGTGTACTCTCGCTGCTACCAGTACGTGGACGACATCACTCCGCTGCTCAAACTGCTCGAGGACCTGCGCAGGAAATCGACAGAGGATGTGAGTACGACATACATGCTCTGCCGATCAGTGCCCACTACACTCGCGGAACGAGATCGGTTATGTGCTCAGGTGTAAAATCGACCACAGCACAATGAAATACGCTGATGCGCATTGCATTGTGCAATGTGCGTCGGATGATGGGTGCTATGTGACCGATATGGGGTATTGCGGCTAATATTTACGGATAACTTGTTTGAACCAGTTCTATGGTTACCGTCAGACACTCACGTCCTTTGAAACGCTTACATCATTTGAAACACTCACGTCATTTGAAAAGGCTGCACCTATATTCCAGCAGTCGGGGCAACGAACTACTACTAGCTATCCCTCACTCTTGACATTGATATATTGCCCCTCTATGATTGACCCAACGTTGATTGGCCCAATGTTTACTTCCCTGTACCCCGTACTCTTCAAAGTTCGCCCATTTTTACCTTTAACGTCATTGACTGATTCCCGTTTTCCCTGAAGAACCTACCTTCAGTAGGAGTTGATATTTAATTATGTTTAATTTCATCGTTTTATTCATTTACAGTCTGCCCATTTTGTTTGAGTGTTACGATATTGCATTTTTTGTTTTCTTTACTTGATCGATTGTCCTTTTTCTTAGGAGCACGACAAGAAGCCCGATCAGGGTGGAATCAAGGTGAATAAATAAATGCTCCTTTTCCTGCATGTATTGTTACCTTTCGGTAACACGAAAATATCGTATTTTTGCACGTAATAGATGCAACATTTTTTTTACGCCGTGGACGTTTTTATTGTGTACCATACTTTTGCATGGTGTTTACTGTTTTGTTTTGTAGTGTTTGCAACAAATCAGCGGTACCAATTTAAGCAAGGTAAGACGATACAGCTTAACTGTGTTTGTCCTTTTACTCTTCCTCACACGTGTCCTAGGTGTAGATAAACGTGTATTTTACGCATAGATAAGCTCAAATGAAATGGTCCAAACAACACATTCATTGCCAATTGTCATGGTATGCTGTCACCGTCCTGCGACGTCGTCGTTTACATAAATGATGCTTGTTTTGAACAGTGATCACCTATTAAAATTGTTTTATGTGATAGTAACAAGATGTAAATATATAGTCTATTGGCATTTTGTAGCTTATGTAAGTAGTACGTTTATCATCGTATTATAAAGTATTTATAAACCATTCCCATGTATTTCTTTATTGTTACTCAGCGTACCTATTTTAGTGTGGGTGCCAGGGACGTAGCCAAGGGGGGGGGCGGAGGGGGCGCCCGCCCCTCCCTTGGGGTTTTCAGGAGGCCCCCCGAAAGGATTCAGGCCAACGTGGGCCGAAGGCCCACGTTGGCCTGAATCCTTTCGGCCTGAATCCAACGTGGGCCGAAGGCCCACGTTGGCCAAAATCACGTCGGAGGCGAACGAAATTCACCCGGGAATCTAAAACATGACGTCAGAACAATCAGGGCCCTCTGACCAGCCTGACAAGTGACAGCTAGGGCCCTTCTCATCTCCTGTGAATAACCACTAGTGTCTGTGTCTGACCGCTAAGGCCCCTCTGACTCCTCAGTAGAGAGGAGGCCCTCTGTGGGTAGGAGGCCCTGTGTAGAGAGGAGGCCCCCTTAGAGAGGAGACCCCCTGTAGAGGGGAGGCCCTCTGCAAAAAGGAGGCCCTCTGTAAAAAAGAGGCCCTCTGTAAAAAAAGAGGCACTTTGTAAAAAGGAGGCCCTCTGTAGAGAGGAGGCCCTCTGTAGAGAGGAGATCGTCTGAAGAGAGGAGGCCCTTTGTAGAGGAGGACTCCCTCAGTAGAAAGGAGGTCCTCTGTAGGTAGGAGGCCCTCAGTAGAGTGAAGGCCCTCTGAAGAGAGGAGGCCCTTTGCAGAGATGAGGTCCTCGGTATAGAGGAGGTCCTATGTAGAGACGAGACTCTGAAGAGAGGAGGCCCTACATAGATAGGAAGCCCTCTGTAGAGAGGAGGTCCCTGTAGAGACTAGAGAGGAGGCCCTCTGTAGAGAGGATGCCCTCTGTAGAGAGGATGCCCTCTGTAAAGGAGGCCCTCTGGAGAGAAAGACACCCTCAGCAGAGAGGAGGCCCTCTGTAGATAAGAGGCAATGTGTAGAGAGGAAGCCCTCTGTGGCTGTGTTGGTATTTTTACGATGGATGCAATTACCCAAACCATTTATCAGACCGTGGTGATATTCCCATAGCCATGCTTCGCACAACTCATAATAATTTATTTGACCGGGAAATTAATATATACCTATCCATCGATTGTTTGTTTCATCTACGGCGTAAATGAAGCAAACCACCTGGACCTAGGAAAATTTACTAACGAAACCATGTTTTACTTACAGCAAGTAAACGTGGCATCATTCACACATAAAAAATTGATAACCGTATAGTTTCAATCTTGCAGACGTCAGTCAGGTCAGAATCGTGACAAGCCTATTGGAAAATATAATGAACTGTGTCCTGCTTCGAGAAAACGAGTCAAAACCACCCAATTCTTTCTGAATTACGTCAGATTATCTGATCTGTAAGCACCCAGTGGCATTTACTGACAGGGGCACCGGGAAGGATCATCTGAGGTGAGGTAAGGTCATCAACAGTTTTTAGCCAATAAATCACGACATGATGGGGCTAAATAGTTGTTAGTGCACCAAACCGTTCGCCTGGTCATGACGCGCCGATTGGTACCCAGCGTGACCTTCCTAGGTCAGATTTTGAAGTTGACCTATCTATGTAGGTCGTTATAAACCATGTTAATTGTTATGACCTCTGGCGACCTCAATATTGACCTGACCCAAAAAAGTTGTTTACAAAAGTTGTAAGTCGTTCAACGAACTATCAAACGCCGTTGCCGTTTGTCGCTACGATGCGTGCTTTTCGAGTTCTGACGGGGGCCAAAAAGGCCCCCGCCCGATTCAGAGTCTTTCAGAGCCCGCCCGGAATACTTGAACGATGATATGATAATACATCAAGTGTTACTCTGACCGTCATCCAGTATCCACCCATTCCTCGCAGATCCTCCCCCTCCTGCTGCGGTCCGGCCGCCGCCGCCGGCGCCCGAGTTTTTTTTTTTTTTTTTTGCCAGTTACCATGCCACTCGGAGACTTGTGATATGCGTATGTTTCTTACCGCGACAGCGGTAAGAATAACGAAACATACCAGTGCGCTGTCCATATGAAAGCTGAACAAAAGTCTGCATTATGTTGTATATGTAATTATGTAGGCATGAGACCCTCTGTAGAAAGGAGGCCCCTTTAGGGAGGAGGCCCTCTGTAGAAAGGAGGCCCCCGGGATTCCTCCGCCCCTCCCTTGGCCAAATCCTAGCTACGTGCCTGTGTGGGTCATTGACATTGAAGTTCTATATGTTAGGCTTATCCATCAGGGCTATGCAATTGCTCATAATTACTTTTATTTTAAGTGCTAATAATATTTCTTTTCATTTTTGAATCACTTAATTTAATGGGTTATTTCGATAAACATATTCTGGATATGTAAAAACGATGAATGCCTGAATGCATGCGCTACTACCAAAAACTAAACAATTTTCGCACGTGCCGCGTGCAGATTCACCCGGACAGCACGGAGCAGGTGACCACCTTCATCGAGAACCAGGAGGCCAACATCGCCAAGGTTGAGGAGAAGCGCGGCGAGATCGCACAGCTGCTGAAGCGCGGAGAGAAGCTCGAAGGCCAGGCCGACTGTCCCGACTTCCTCAAGGAGCAGGTCAAGGGGCTCAGTGAGCTGTTTGTCGACACCGAGAAGAAGGCCAAGCTCAAGCTGGAGGTGCTTAGGAGTGAGTATCTGGGATGAGCTACTGATGGCTGGAGAATGGAGAGTTGATCATTTTGGTTTCAGTGAGATCACAGATAATATCGAAGTAATGTGTTTTCTAGCGAGATAGTTGGTGTTTCTTTGGTGAACCGTGAATTGAATACGATATTATTTTTGTCCGTGATATTTATTATCCTGTGATATCATATCGTCCGTGACACGTAAGCTCCCGTTTCCACTATAACCTAAGAAGATTCTAATTAAGTACGCATAGAACGTTCTACGCTTCACTTTTGGATTACGTTTTTGGCTGCGTATCGTGCAAATCAAAAATCGACTTACTTTTTGTTGATAACCCATTCAGCGAATATCACACCTTCGCATCGAGCTGCTAATCAAATCACTGTCGATCCCTTGCTCGCATTACGATGTCTATCTTATCACCTCGTACCCGTCCGCCAGACAACGAGAAGGCGTGGCAGGAGTACGAGGAGGACAAGGTCTCCATGGTGAACCTGCTCGACCAGGCCGATGAGAAGCTGCGCAATATCAGGAAGCTGTTCGACCCGCAGCAGGGTGCCGAGGACCTGGCCATGCGCACCGACCAGGCCGCGCGCACCCGTGAGGCCTGCGAGGCCTGCTTCAACAAACTCAAGGGCAACGTGGAGATCATCTGCAGCATCTGCTCGCCAGACAAGAAGGAGGAGCTCGGCAAAATTGTGAGTGGCTTGCGGGGAGGCGAAAAGATGTTGCATTGCTGGGTGACATCAAACGTCATCCCCATTAAACCCATTTTGCTATACGTGCATTTAACTGATGATAGTTTATCTCTTGTGTTGCTCACAAACTGCGCTTTTTTTGTTCTTTCGCTTCAGTGTGTAGCTTGCAGTGTATTATTTTTCAAAGTATTTTCGAATTATATTCACGTCAAACGTTTTTTTTTCTCCATTCGCTCATTCGCTGCTTGCCGAAACCTCGCCGTACCCTTTTCACTGACCGATGTCTCTCCCGGCCTGCACAGATGACCGGTTTTGAGGAGCGCATGGCGGTGCTGAACACCACTGATGAGCGCATCAACAAGCTGAAGGCCTACACCGCCGACCTGCAGGTAGATACCGGCCGAATATTGGCCCTCTGTGTCCCGATTATCGCGAGTGATCAGCACAGACATCATTGCCTCTGATATTCAAAGTCTCGAGGTTCCAACATGGTGTGTTGTGTTTCAGCTTCAACTCAATGTAACGTTGTTTTGTTTGTCAGGCAATCGTCAGACTACTAGCTATTCAATTCATATTTTATTGAACACTTACATTCTGATTGACTGGAGCATATCAATCCAACGTTCCATTATGTTCGAGCGTCTCAGCGTTTATCTCTCGCCCACAGACATTCGTGGACAAGAAGGAAGCCTCGCTCAAGTGGCTGGTCACCGGCGAGAACCAGCTGGTGGAGCTGATGAAGTTCCCCGGCGAGGACAAGTCCGACGAGAAGCTGCTCATGACGGTCAAGATGCAGAAGGACATGGAGACCCAGCTCAACATCCTCTCCGAGCTGATCACCGAGTCGGAGCGCCTGCTCGGAGGTAAAGTATGGAGCTTAAGCACAACTGAATGACAAGGGTTTCCGAGCATCCTGTTTGCTGCATTGATGATATATTCTTACAGTTGTCAGATACATATTCAGGTAATGCTTTGTGACTAAACAATTTCACCAATATCAGTTAGGACGTGAATTACACATCCATGCCAACACTTCACTTCGAAGTTCATATATATAAGTTGTGATTGCTCCATGACATAATATTCACGGTCGTTTTTATTAACTACTATATTATAATACGTTTCGACATGGCGTCATCGCTAACGCTCAGACTTTCCGCTTATAGGATCGTTAATCTGTATGATGTTTCACCAGGAAAGACGCACTCTGTGGCCGAGAACCACCTGCTGGAGGTGGAGCGGGTCAAGAACAAGCTGGAGGAGCTGAACGCCAAGCTGAAGGAGGTCTCCGGAGAGATCTCCGAGGACCTCCACCACTGGGCCGACTACCAGGTCAGGTACCGCTTGCTATAGTGTCTTGTTAGAGACTCGCACAGGACTCGTGGAATTATTTCACGATTTTATCAACCATATTTCATTTACAGACTTATCAAGTTTATATCAAACCCTCCCCTCTCCAACATTGTTATGGATGTGTTTATCTTACCTGATTTGCCAAGCGATTAAAAAAGACAAGAATCAGTGAAATTACATAAAGTCCATATGTGACTGACAGTGTGACAGTTTACCTTTAGTTTGACGTCCTCATTCGCGCCTCTTGTAACGCATCATCTTTTTGTGACCCCAGTCGGAGCTCAAGACGTTCCAGCCGTGGGTCAATGAGGTTGAGGAAAGGATCAAGGCTGGTCAGAAGAAGCCCACCAGCCTGGCCGAGGCCCAGGAGATGCTCAAATCAGTCCAGGTTAGTACCGCTCGGGAAGATGACGGATTCACGAAAGAAACATTTTGCGAGGCCGTTGGCTATGACAGGGTGTAGTAAGCTGAATAATCGGCATATATGAATGATGCTCTTGACTCCTCTGTTGAATATAGTCTGCCGAGCTAATGCCTCGTAGATTGCACAACATCTAAGACATCAACCGCAACAAAATCAACTGCTAGTATTTTCTCTTTTATCACTTTCTCCCTATATTCTGTGCCGTAGTGATTCATGCTAATTTTAATTCATAATACTTTGACATCGCCGTTCTCGTGAAGGACTTCGACCAGGACATCAAGACCCGTCTGGGTAACCTGGACAACATGACGGAGACGGTGACGAAGATGACCCAGCACGAGAAGGCTGACCGCGAGATCGCCGAGTGCCGCGAGCGCCGCGAGAAGGCCGAGAAGGTCTCCGCTGAGTGGGTCATCAAGACCGAGAAGCTGGTCAAACAGTGGGAGGAGCTCAACGCCACGGTATGGACTATATCTATAGAAAGAGGATAAAAAAGCTGCCGCGGATTAGGTAGTCCTAATCGGTTAAATCGGCTGTCACAAACTATAGATTGCAGTCAAGAGAAAGTGCTCTCATCGTTTTGATCCAAAGAATTGCTAAATCTAATGATCTAAATGATCTTTAAAAAATGATAAAAAGCTTGATCATACAGCCTTCTTCCTTCGAAATCATATGCTACCTAAAAAGGAAGAAGGTCCCATATTGATAGTGTGGGTAGCATTTGCACAATCGCTGCAAGTGAAGCATATCAATCGCGCATATATAATACCTACACGCAGACACAGAGGATTTGCACCGGTAATTGACCGTGTACTTCTCGTTCCTCACAGGTGACGGAGGTGCAGGGCTGGGTGGCGGCTGCGGAGATGAAGGGCGAGACGCCCACCCAGCAGACCGTTGACGACACCTGCAACAAGCTCAAGGCCTACTTTGCCGAGAAGCAGAAGCTGGTCGACGCGCTGTGAGAAGCCGCAGGGAGGGAGCAGAGAAGGACCGACAGCCGTGCCAAGACGCCGCCGGAATTTGGCGTCGCCCCAGATTTCGCGGTCACTGGCTACTTGTTACTTGCTCTTACATGTTATTAGAGAGGTGGCAGAGGAGTGGTCGGTTGGTTGGTAAGGGGGTTATTACCTGGTGAATAATGCGTCTTTCCGGCAGATAAGAATATTCAAAAATGCTAAAAATTGGTCACTTACGCCATTATAAGAAATAAGGCAATAATGGCTAGCTTGGCCATTGCCCAAGTGCAAAATAGCATAAAAGGGCTATTTGTACTCATGGGTTTGAACGAAAGTCATAAGCACTAGCTATAAGCGTGCTTAGGAATCGCTTTATTCCGAGACTGAACTTTACTTCGAAACCATGCAAAAGATAAAAAAGCTGACGAACCTTGAGCGAGGAAGACGATATAGCCTCTGGTTATGTTTGTCTCTTCGAGTTGGGGAATTTCAACGCTTTGTGTGCTCCAGAGCGATGAACTAAGCCTAATCTGTTCGTTATCTTACATTTAGAGGGGTCTGTGACGGAAATTATGATAAGACAATTCTTTGCACGTTTACAAGATATTAAAACTTATTTGATTTTGCATTGTTAAGTCTTCTTACTTCTCTCAGGAATAATCATTCTTTTCACTTTAATTTGACGTGTTCTCCATTTTTGTTTGTCTTCTCTCCCCGTACACTAGTTTTCTATCTTTTTATGTTGCACTTTTCAGGTTTCGAGTTTTTGGTACCCTTATACTTTCAGTGATTTCTTTTTCTTTTTCTTCCATTTTTAGAATGCAACGATGAACACTGTATTGCTGGTTGATCTTCCGCACTGGTCTTTTACAATAAATGTAGAAAAAAATGACCGTGGTGTGCTGTTTGGAGCTGTGGTACCTGTATAGATATATCTTGATTGATCAGGAAATGGTTATTTGAGGACCCAATGCTGCAGTTCTTTGACCTAAGAGAATAAAGTGCCACTTCCAAACCTGCAATACCTTGGGAGCGCGCACACCCCAGTATCGGCTGAGCTCAGCCGAACTGGGGCTGTAGGCCTTGGACTCTTGGCTGCGGACTTTGCTGACGTGCCAGCTCTGAGGAGAATTTCCGCCGCCGCCGACTCTCCGCCGGTCGGCTGTCAGGAGCCGTCCGCGACGAATTCCTCCGTCGGGACGCGTCGCCAATGTATTTTTATTGTGGCCCGGATAGTTGGAATGGTGGAGGGTCGCCAGCGCACGCGTCATGTTCGGCCCCGGAGGATGACCTTCGACCAAATACAGTCGCCGCCGCGGCCGCCACCGCACACCGCTAGTGCTGTCACCACTACCGCCGCCGCCGCCTCCGCTACCACCTATGCCAGTTTTGAGCGTTTTTTCTTATATGCTCTGACGAATTAGTCTGCCAATAAGTCACAAACGTGTTGAAGGACGCAGCAACTGGACAAAACTTTGCATTTCTATTGAATTACATAGGTAGTTTATGATGACGGAATGAGTAGATATTATCAGACTATTGTTCGCAAAACGATTTTAAACCATGCGAGAACAGTCCTCCTTTTACAACACTAAGAGGCTCGGCTGTGTTTTTACGCTCTTCCTCGTCGATTTCTGGGCCACGTAGCGACATGCGATAAGAGGCTTTAACCCGCGCACCGACGGGGGGGGGGCGGATATCCGCCCCCCCTGAGGTTTTTCGCGGATAGTGGTAAAACCGCGGCGCGTAGCGCCGCGAAATTTGGGACGACTATTCTCTCATCAATTTTACACATGGTGTGCAAGTTTGAACCTCCTAACTTTTAAGGTCAGGTCACCAGGTCACTTTGAATGACCCAACCTCAAGTCACTTTTTTGCAACTTTGTCACCGTGTCAGAGCTACAGTAGATGTCGGAGGCCTTTGAAAGTCGCAGGATGTTATTAGGTCATTAGTAGCTACAATTTGTATATCTCGGAATTTTGATGTCGGTGACCTAAGGTCAGGTCAATTTCGCGACCTCCCCATTATAAGTCAATGGGGGAAAAATCAACTCCCTGTTTTTACCACTAAAACGGGTCGGAATGGCCCCATATACCATACATGACTTCATATACGATCAACCTTCACTACCTTGAGGTCTGTTGGGCAGCTGTAAGGTCATGTGACGTCATCAAAGGTCACCAAAGGTTTTTTGCCAATAACTCCGTACAGGAACAAGATACAGCCGCGCGGATGGTCTCATTGTGTTCAGCTCGTCAAGACGCATCGAATGATATACATGATGACCTCGAGGTCACGTGACCTGAGGTCAACCTTTGACCTTGACCTTTCGAGGTCAACATATATAGCATTCGATGCGGATTGACGAGAGGATCACGATGCTGCCCTTAGTTTGTTCCTATCTTGACTAATTCGAAAGTTATTCGAGAAAAACTCTCTCCATATCTAGCGCCGCCATTATGACTTTTTCGACCCCTGTGACGTCATCTTTGACCTGACCTGAAAATGACCTTAGTAAAAATTGTAGACCATGTCCGTGCGTATCCGATGCCGTTTACCGCTTGTCGCTATCTTGCTTCGTTCTCGAGATCTCAGGGGGGGGGCGGTCATCCGCCCCCCCGTCGGTGCGAAGTTGGCGCAGACCCCCGTCGGTGCGCGGGTTAAAAGAAAAATAACGGAGAAATATGCACTGGTTAATTGTTAGGTTAGGTCAACCCTTGATCAAGGGTCAGGTCATCAGAAGCCATCAAAAGCTAGTTTTTTTCTTCCGATTATGACATTTTCGGAAAAATTGGTTTATTAGCTCGTGAATACGTTTCTTCGTTGCGTACCGTTGCATTTCTACGTGATCTGATACATAATCGACTGAAGTCGGCACTGGTAGTGGTGACCCGTATCTTATAATCTCGCTGGACAGTGAACATAGTGGTTTTGCACATACACGAGGAGGGGAGGGGGGCAATGCAGCCCTCGCTGTTTCGCCTATAATTTAGCTAGGGCTTCGCAGGAAAAGTTATCGTGTTTGCCGTTACGAGATGCGGCGACTGGTGCAACCCAACTACCTATAAGGTCCCAGGTTACCTCTGAAGGCACGGTAAAGAATAAAGATCTCAAAGTAAGGCTCGGTTTTTGGCGAGTAACTTCGCCCAAATGGACACAGCACAGAGCTGCAATTTTGCACCACTGTAGTCGTTATATGATTCAAGCGCGTTGAAGGATGCATTTTTTTGTCTTGTTTGGGAAAGGTCTACTTCTGGTGTTGACCTCAGGTCAAGGTCAGGTCCCAGTCGCTCAGGTCACGAAGCTCGCCAAAGGAGGTCATATAAAGGATATCATTCGATTTGACAGGTCTTCCTGAGTATACAAATTAAAGACTTTTCTGACTCGGCTAACTTAAGTTGATGGGGAGCAGCCTAATGACGTTTAATTATGATGACCCTAGCGATGTGTTTATGCGATGTGTTCATGTTTATGTGCCTATATAGGTAGGTTTGCATATTATTTATTTATTTATGTAGATCAATTCCTTTGCAAAAGTAGCAGTTTCTCCTTTATTTCCCTTTTACTTACATTGGCGAGATCACGTGACCGACCTGACCTCGGGGAGCCTTATGAATAATCGAATCCGAGCTTAACAACTTGTAGGTAAGCTCTCGATAGGTTACTAACCTGTTCTGTAAATTTCATTTCTCTACGAAAGATCACCTAGCACTGAGGTCGTCGTGACTTCGCGACGACCTCAGGACCTTTAAAAAGTTTACATATGATGCCAGACCTGACCTAAAAGTGGAGTTGGTGTCACAAGATCTGGTTTGAATCAAATGACGGGGTTCCAGATTTTTAGCTCTTTATCTCAAACGTGTTCCGAGCATTCGTGAAAAAGTCAGCGGTTGGTACGAAAACCTCCATCGGCCACGGATAATTTCATTGAGGGTCATTCTCATCTCCTCCCCGCTGCAGCGTGAGAAGCGTGGGTGATCGCTAGCTCGAAAGAAGGGTCGGGTGATTACGGATGATGATGGACAAGTCCTTAGAATGGAAGAAGTGGACATCGGAGCACAGGGGCTGTGGTCGCTCAGAGCGACATCTATTTTGACTCTCAGAGGGACCTCAGCTGCACCTCAGCCCACGCCAGGGCGCCCTCGGCCTCCGGCGAGCTCGGGGTCGCAGTCTGGGACCGTCGGAGCGACATCTACACACATGTGGAGGCCGACTGACGCCAGATGTCGTTTGAGGCGACATCAGCGCCGTGCATTGCGCAGTGTGCACTGTTGAATGTTGATATCGACGCAATGCATGTAGATTGCTGGTCTTTCGCGGGACGTCCGGGCCGATAAGTGTTCGTGCTCCGAAACTGATTGTTTGTCCTTGGCTAGGCTGCTATTCGATAAGTGCACCGACTGTGAACAGATTAGTTCAGCAGAGACGTGGACGATTAGGATTCGGATAGCTGAGAGCCACTCACTGATCGAGACTCCTTTCCTCCGTTCCGTCGTTTCCGTCCTCAGGATACTGAAATCCTTGTCCTCCACGCCACAACCCCCACTCCGGGCTGGACAGGCACCTTTATCTCATGCGGGCTGCTCCCTTGGAGCGGCACCGCTGCTCCCGAGGGAGCGCACCCCGTAGCCGGGTGCAGTGAGTGCCTTGGGGCTGGGTGGCCTGTCCTCTGGACGGGCTCAGCCCCGGCGACTCACTAGGATGCCTGCCCAGACCAATGTCTCCCCCTATATCCTATCATCCTCCCGGCTCTGAAATGGTCTCATTGGACCGAAAGGGCCTAACCCAACAAAACAGAGACTCCTTTCACACCGTTCCGTCGTTTCCGTCCTCAGGATACTGAAATTCTCGTCCGAATTCATATAACCATGAAATGATGTAAGATCGAATGCGGCTTAACCCGCGACCGCCTGGGGGGGGGGGTCGGATCCGACCTCCCTCCGTTTTTCTTGAATAACTTATGAACCGCTTACGCTATCGACTTGAAACTTGGCATACCTTCTCCCCTATCAATTTGACGTCTCCTGTGCAATTCTTAAGAAAAAAAATCCATTTTTTTTTAGATATCTCGATTTTAGTGATGTAACTACATGGCGTTTTCAGTCAAAAAGTGGTAAATGTTTAAAAAATCGCCAAAAATCAGGGTTTTAAGCAAATTGCAAATTAAGGACATGAATAGACGCAGCTCAACGAGTTCTTTCAAATGGCTATCTCGGATTTTCCATAAAATGCGTTTTTCATCCCTAAAAATTCAAAAAAACTATATTTTTTGGGAAACAGCTAATAAAATCCTAAGCCGGTCCCGTAGCTCAGTTGGTTAGAGCGTTGGACTCCGCGTGGTGAGAGCACGCGTTCCCGGTTATGACAGTCCGGGTTCGAAGCGCGACGGGCGCTCGACATTTATGGGCCTCCTGACAGGTATGGTTGCGGTTGGTGGCAGGCCGTAGCCAGGCGAAGTCAGCGAGGGGACCGGCCGTGCGCGGCTTTGTGCGCACGTAAAACTTTGGACTCTAAATTCTGCCATAGAATCGGAATTGCGCGATCGGAGGGTAGAGGGCAGGGTCATCGCAACAAGCTTCGCTTAGCGGTGGCTCTGTCCTTGTGAATCCTTCCCATCAAAAGGTTCGGACTAAATTTATAAAAAAAAAAATCCAAAATTTTGAGAATTTCCAAAAAACCGGAATATATGTTATAGAGCTCTATTAGAACATTAGATGTCCCAAATTTCAACTTTCTATCTTGATTTTTGACCCCCAAATTGTAAAAAATAGCTCCAACATGCATAGGGCATGGTGACGTCATAAGCATTTTCGTGAATTAGAGGCACTTCTGAACATCGCATGTGAAAACAAATGGCACCACTAGATTCCTGGGACAAAGCTCGTCTATAAAAGTGCATTTTTATGTCAAAAATAAAAAGTTGAAAAATTGACCTTTTTTCTTAGCCCTCGCTTAGTTATGTATGGTATAAACGATTTTTTATGCTTTCAATGCACACTTATCACCAAACACAG